AATTTTTTTTTTTTATTTAGAATATTTGACGATAAACTATAATTGCACAAAGTTATATAACACTGTAATATATCAATTATATAACAAATGTAATGTACAAGTTATATAACAATGTTATATATGTTACATAACACTGTAATATACAAGTTATATAACAATGTAATGTACAAGTTAAATACACAGAAAAAAAATAAGTATCAAATCAAAATTTATATACTTAAACTAACGCGTTCATTGTTTCGTATATATGCAACAATTTATAATCTTCTTAGAAGAATTTAATAATTTTAAATTTCAACAATATTATAGTCTTATTTTAATATTGTAATTGTCACCTCAAGAATATATAATTATTTAATTCTACTTTAAGAAAATTATAATCTTTGATTTAAAAATATTATTTTCTATCCAACATTATTCCTTTTCCATTCAAGAAAATTCTTAAATCTTGAATCATAAGAATATATTTTTCTCGATTGAACTATATAAAATGGCTTCACTCAAGTAGGCAATTATTCAAGCAATTATATTTTTCTTTACGCAATATAATCTCATTTCAAGATTTCCATGTTAAAACTAAATATATTTTCAAAACAAGAATGTTCTTTTTTTCTGTGTAACACTGTAATATCGGTTATATAACAAATGTAATATATCAGTTATATAACAATTACAAAAGTATTCATAACAATTTTTTTTTCGTTGCATTGCATTATTCGACGATGCGTCTTTCCGCTTAACGGCAAATCGACACGATCGAGACCTATATATATATTCAACTGCACTTAACCGTGTAGCAGGATGTAGGTTGCCGTTTAAGATCGATCGACCTCTTTTCCCTACGAGCACTTTTTACGAAAATGCAATTTACAGAGTGGGCAGAGCCGATTCCAGCCTCAGAAGTTCATCCACCGTGCAGTCGAGGTGCTGCTATTGTTCGAGAGCCACCCAATGGAGAGGAGGAGAGAGTTAGGAGCGGGAGGATGGTATCGGGAAGGTGATATGTATATGTACGCGGTACCATCGAGAAAAGCGGGCCTTTCCCTCAGAGTTCGAACGTGGTTTCTTACGCATTTCGCGCGCGAGCGCGTATTAATTTCAATCGGCTGCCAATCTTTTCCCGATCTCTTATCCCGCCTCGCGGCTATCGCGAAAGGTCACCGTAACTTGGTACGGCTTATTACGCATTTGTTATCCTCCTTCGCGATTAGATCGTTCGCCGCTCGAATCGATATAATTTCGATAAGTTCGACCGGGACGTTCCCTCGACGGAAATTTCTCAAAATGCGTAATTATGGCATTATTCAATCTTCGACAATCGGGAGATCGTTATCGAAAACGCTCTCCGCCAAGATAAATAGCGCGCGAGGTGGCTGGTACCTACACGGCCAATAACTTTCAATCGACGCGCTGTCCCTTAAATCGACCAACCGAGGTCGATGTTGTTATCGGTCCTTCCGCACCGAGCACCATTATAGCGAGATACCGTACGTTTAAGGGCCGAGATCCGTCGTTTAAGGGCCGCGAATCGGCCGCGTTCGGAAGGCAGTTTGGTACTTTACGAGAGGAGAAACGCATCCTTTTCTCGCGAGAAAGAATATACAGGGTGTCCCGATATCGCCCTCCAATTATAATTTCGTCGAGAGAAGAAGATGGGACCGATTTATTGACTCATATATGCTGTCGCAAATTTCTAATTTTCAATTTATAAGTATCTAAGTAAGTTTCTTTCTTCTTTTAATTTTAACAAATTAAGTTAAATTAATAAATTAAATTAAAAATTAAATTAAACTTTTACTTAAGGATGTTTTGTACCTATTTTCAAAATATTGAGAATTTAATGAAAATTGGACAGAATGTCCTTACATATGTTTAGAATCTTCACAAAGCGTTCACAAGTTATAAGGATTTTAATTTGCACCGAATTTTAACATGTGTTCTTATGGAAAATGTATAACCACGTCGATTCAAATGACAAAAGCACATGGAAATTCAGAATTTGTTTAAAATTTGTAAAAGTTTAGATACTATTAGAGGAAATATTTGGTCAAATAGTATTATACAAGTACTAACTGGTTAAAAAGATATTAAATATAATTCAATGAAGTTAGCCATGTATCTGTCATAAGGCGAAATTCTCTGCCAAAAGTTAATCATTTCGATTAACAAAATTCGGAATATTTCAATAAAAATTAATAAATATTAATTTTTAAATATATAAACATTAAAAAATACATCTCTGCACTGTAGCTAAAATCAAATTGTAAAATTCCATACAATTTCTCATAATTCAAAATACATCAAAAGTGGATATATTCGTCAATATTGATTTTCAGCTACGTTTTGCTGGGATTGTACAAAACATCCTTGAAAATTAAATCAAACTATTTAAATTAAAACTTTTATAAAAGAAAGTACACGAAAAAATTTCATAAGAAATCAAATACGTCATCGACATTTCAACGTTGATTACTCTCGTAACGAGGTCGGTGTCTCGACTTTTCCCATGCATTTTTATTCAACATTCGCGATCGAAGGGACATCCCGTATACGTGTCTTTCATAGGAGAGCGAGGGAGGCAATCAGAGGCACTAAACTACGATACCACGTTGGCAGTTTGAGACCCTGTATCTCCGCTGTCGCCAGTGGTACAACACACGCGTACGCCCCGGTATTATTTGCGGGCTGCCACATATGTCGTAGGTGGTCCCCCTTCCCCCGTTCCCCTGTGACACGACGCAGTGGCGTCGCGTCGTCGTACTGTGTAAAGGACGATGAGCGGGGGTGCGGTTTCTCCTTCCTCCGATCCTCGAACGTCGTCTGCGCTCCACTAATTAACAATGAAATTAACGACCGCCGGAACAGTAAGAGCGACGAGGACGCGCGATCCACCGATGACGAGGGATGATAGTCGAACGATATCAACGGGACCAGCGCCAAATTAATTCCCAAATTTTGACAGATCTCGAGGACGGGCTAACGGTCGGGAAGAGCGATTGATAAAGATGCGCGGGCACGCGTGTCACCGGATATAAGGTGCCCACACGGCCCCCATCGGTGGTATATTCGCCCGCCCCACACCGACAGGCAAACGGCGACACAATCGGCGTACGCGTGTGCGTGCGTCGATGCCAAACACGCTCGCTCGCACGCGCGGACGGACGGGCTAACGGACGTACGAACGGATGGATCGACGCACAGCACGCGCATGAATATGTAGGATGTCTGGAAAGAAAGAAAAAAAAGGGGGGAAGAGAGTGGGGGCGGCAAAGGCAACTCGGCGCGCATAGCAATCGGAGCCGCGTCATGCCAATAACATCGCGCCTAATGTTCGATCGATAAATCCGACGACGAGTTTTCCTCACTCCACGATCGCTCGATAACCGGCGCCAGGGGGAGGGAAACGCGGCGAGGGAGACTCGGTGATTTACAGGTTTGCGCGACGAACAAATCGAGAAAGACCGAGAAAGAGAGCGCGGAAAGATAGAGGGGGAGAAAAGATGTGTTACACGAGGGGCCGCGGAGGGGGGGCACGCACATACGCGCGAGTGTAAACACGCACGAGACACACGGTGCGTTGAAACGAGTACGGGTAGGATAGGTAGGTAGATGGTTACACACGAAGAGAGGAGAGGTTTACAATTTTCTGCACGACGGCCGCTCGATCGTTCAAATGCCAATAATGTTGCGGATGCCAATTGTCGATAATTCAAGGTGTACCTGCCCACGATAACGCGCGCGCGCGCGAACTCCAGTCGGCGCTGACAGATCGTTAGGATGGTACCGGATGATGGGTTCTCGGTTTTAACGCTGGGGAGACACGAGACATACGAGAATGAGAGAGGAAGAGAAAGAGAAAGAGGAAAAAAAAAAGAGACAAAGAGGAACAACCGCAAAACCACCGTCTGCCGCTGAAAGCATTTCGGTTTACGTGAAATCGACGATTCGCGTATATATCGCGCGACGAATGTGCACCAACACGATAGCAGGGCTATCGTGCGTTTTATTCTCGGAATGTCCGCGCTACCTTAAAGGGAACGAGAAGAGAGAGAGAAAGAGAGAAAGAGAGAGAGAGAGAGAGAGAGAGAGAAAGAGAGAGAGAGATGTTACTTGGGAATTTGCGAGCGATAACGCAGCGATCGGAGCGAGATTTGACAGGAGGGCTCGAATGTACAGCGTGGAGCGATAAGAGAATGATTTCCCTATCTCGATCGTGCAGGTGGCTGCCGGTGATACGAACGAGACGCCGCGAGTTATATTCGCGGAGGCTGGTGTTGGTTACACGCATTTGCGACAGAATAAACATGGGTGTTAACGAGTCGAGTTGATATAACGTAACGTAAGACTTTTTCTCTCGTCCCTCTTCTCTCTTTCTCTCTCTCTCTCTCTCTCTCTCTCTCTCTCTCTCTCTCTCTCCTCGTCCCGTTCAACATCCCTCGTTCCAATGTGTAATTAGATTAATTCCACTCGCCTGACGTTGCAATTAATTTAATGACGACTCGCGAGCGAGCGGGCGAGATTTTTCCTGCTTTCTTATTCCCAGAGTCAGTTTCCCGGCGGAAAAGTCTTTTCCCGCGAGAAACCGCCATTGTTTCATCGCGTACATGTATTTTTAAAAGGCGAGACCCTTTCTAATCTTGCACGCTTCATCTTGGCCGTATCCGGGAATGAAAAATTTTTCCATAACGGGTACCCGATCCCGATGCGTTTTAATTGCGTTTTTAAACGGTAAAACATATTTATTTAATTAAATATCCTCTGTTTTGCGTCTTACACGAGGGACTGAATATTCAGTGGCTCAATTAAAAGCGGTGGATTTCTAGATCAGAGGAAATCGTGAGAATTGAAACGAAGAAAATAATAAAGTTTCTTCTCAAACAACTTGTTTATACATCAAATCATTCAGATTGCGGATTTCAAAGACGTCTGAAGGCGATTGATAGACGTGTAAACAAGAGCCTCGAGAAGGGAAGCATCTCCGATTCGCGCATCTTGCTTACCGAGCATCTTGCTGAGATCGGCGTTGTGAAGATCCGGATTCTCGTCGGCCAGCTTCTTGCGCTCGACCTTTGCCCAGACCATGAACGCGTTCATGGGGCGACGTATCCGTTGCTCCTTGAGGCTCCTCTGGGCAGTGCCGCCGCCGGGATGGCACATCTTTACTCCCGCGGGGATCGGCGAGATGCCCTGCTGGTATTCCAGCGATGGACCGGAAGTCAGCCAGGGCATATCCTCCAGCCGCTGCTGCGTCGGGCCGCTCAGCATGCTCGGTATCTGGAAACGATGTCACGTGTACATATTTCGCCAAGACATATTTCCCGCGAGCAGCGTTCGACCGGCTGCAACCCGGTGGTGGCGTTTTTAAGAGAGGTAGCTGACCCAAAGATACGCCAAGCGAGGTATGAAGATACCGAGAGGTACTTTGCCGTACTCGGGTAAAGGGATGCGAACAATAGATATTTATTTAGCCGTAGCAACCGATAACGGGTCGGTGAAACACGAGCGACAGGATTAACGACGGGGCAAAATGCGAGATTAATGAAGCTTATATATGCCACTTTGCTATCGTACCTCCGCCATTGTTTCGCGCCGACATTTTTGACTTTATCCTCACGCGTTCGTCTACGAATAGGACCGCAACGCGAGCCAACTGTCGTGAATAACGCAGGAACGTAGGTGTATTTACAACGCGCGCGAGGATGCATACATATGATACGATGTTATGCGAGTGGCGGAGGACGAGATGCCGTACAAGCGACGTTCGAAATCGGCGGAGACACGTACCGAGATGATTTGGGTATCGATTGGCATCGAGCTGTCGTTGCCATCGATGCCAGAGTCGATGTCGTAGGCCCTCGACGTGGGAGTCGCGTAAAGCGACGAATGGAGCGCCAAGAGTCCGGGGGAACCGCCGTAACTCACCGGCGGTGGTGTCACCTCACCCCTGTCATAATTATCCAGCATCCTGCAAAACGAAAAAATCATTAATTAACAACGCTGACGTGGATCAAATGCTTGATTATCGAAAGGCGAAATAAGCGCGAGTTTCCAAGAGGATAAATGGCGATAAATCGAGGGGAGTCGCGATCGATTCGAGCGTTCCATTTCCTATCGAGATACCCGATAGTCGAATGATCGCGAGAGACCGATTTCGTATCGCGGATTGCGCGATAGCAATTGACTTTGCCCGCTTTCTCTCTCTCGGTCCCGGGACGAAGAAGCGAGCGAAATCCCGTGGGTCGCTCTCGTGCCCGAGCGGCCGATTGATCTGTCAACCGTTCCGTTAAGAAAAAGAGTTGATCGACATGAATGAACCATTCAAGGCCACTTAATGGAATTCCCACGATTGTCCTTAAGGCATTATGCGACCGTGCGCCGAGTATAATGGTACCAACAGCTGTCTGTCGCGCGCATATATACGGACTTCTATTTGGCTCTAGCCAAGCCGTGACGACACATGTAACGCGCACGTGCGCACGTACGATATTCCACGGAATGCATGTAGATGCACGTGCGCGCGCGCGCACACGTTGTACGTTCCGTATAATGGCCATTGTTTCATTCGGTTCGGCGAGATGCTGCGACTCGCGGGGACGAAAAACGTATCGGCGGCGTTTTCATTCAATAAACCTCGTGCGGCGCGCGCGCGATTTTGTCACCCCTTATATACTCGCGCAGCGAGAAATTAGCTCTCGCCTTCCGTCGTGTCGGTCGCGCTGATAAAACCGCGCGCTCTTGTTTCGACATATCGATATACGAAGCCCGATACGAATCACACTCGGCTCGCCAAGGCGAGAACGCGGTTTTATCGCGATTAAATTAGAATAAAATTGCACGCGCGATTGAAGACATTTTTTTCGAGACTATTATAAAATTCATCAAGTTTGAAAAATAAACGCAGGCCATAAATTCCAAGATGTAAAACTGGTTCGCTATTATTGCGAAAAAGAAAAAAAAACAATAATGTAATAATAATGGTAATGATAATGCAAGCAAACGAAATATGCTCTTGAAACGGTGCTTGGCGAAGGTACTCTTCATCGGCGATAAAAATGCTCGTGGAACCTCTCGAGGCGATACCAGATACGATACAAAATTAAAAGCCGTTAAACCCGCGGCCAAGATTCCCCGGGTTTCGCCCGCGTCGGCGCAGCTGCACCACCCACGCGTACGATAGATACGCCACTGCCTTCAGCATTGTTTCTTTAATGATTCATGTGGGGTGATTGCACCGCGAGTTGAAGGAAGCGCACGGGTCTCCAACCGCGAATACAACGAGCGCGCGTCGTTTCGAAAATATTAATTCGCCAGGAGTCATCGTCGGGCACTCATGCATCGCGTTGCGAGCGAATTTTGCATACGTCTTCCGCGATGATAAATCGCGCGATTTGGCCTCGGCCTCCGTCCAAGATCGTCCGTCTGGAAGGGGACAATCTCTCTCGTAAAAATCGTACAAAATTCCGAGATCCGACGACGAGACGTTCCGCAAAGCGTGTCAAGGAAAAGCGACAGTTATCCTTCCACACACCGACGCGCCCGCGACGTTACAAATGGCTCGCGGAGCTGCCGGGCCACGACCTACCGGCGCGCGTCAGAGTCGGCCGAGCGAGGAGACAAAGAACAACAACAGCGGCGATCCTCTAAATCGGCACGTCCGTCCGTCGAGCCTCATGAATCTCCGGGGAAGACCGTCGCGGAGCTCTCCTTCGAGAGGCAGGGAAAATCGTCGTGCACGCTTCGGCAAACAGCTTGGCAACCGGAGCAGACGTCGCTCTCCTCGTCGACGACACACTTGTTCCCTCCTCGGATAAATTATTCCTTCCTTCCCCGTCACCCCCCTCGCCGCATTCCCCTCCCGGGCCAGGCCCGGAGGCCATCGGGCTGCCGAGAGAAAGCTTTCGAAACTCGCGTCTCTGACGTAGCGGCGCATTTTATTCAAATAATCGCGCGGATCGAACACACCCTTGCATTGCTCGGCGAGGCGACGCGACGAAGACGCGCGACGTTCGCATAAAAGTGGCGAAACCCGCGTGTACGCGATACAGTAATACCATTGTGCGCAGCCATTACGGGCGCGTGTGGGTGGACGATCGATCTGTATTCGCGTCGATGCGCCAAATGTACGGAGCCGATCGATCGCGCCGATCGTAAATAAATCGAGAGAGAGATGCGCCGTTACGACTGGGACTTGCTCATCGCCCGTGTATTAATATTATTATTATCGCTTCGGAGGGTTGATTCGAATCGAAACGCAATCCCCGAAAAATCGATAAAAAAAAAAAAAGAAAGAGGCCAAATTCCACACGCGAGCAAAGATGCGGAGGTTACAATTTTATAAGCCCCTGATTAAACTTTTAAATCCAATGTCCGATGCTTGGTGAGCGGAAGCGACGACCCCAGCCGCTCACCTCTGCACTACTAACGCTCCGGCGCGTTTCAGATTTGAGAACGAAGAAAGCGCATCCCCGAAACCTTTACGGGTTGTTTAAGACCGCGGAACGGACGCCGCAAAGTCCGTCCGTCCGTCCGTCCGTCCATCCGTCCATCCGTCCGTCCGTCCGTCCGTCCGTCCGCTCGTCCGCTCGTCCATCCGCTCGTCCGTCCATTCGTACGTACGCGTTGTGTCTCTCGTTGTGTGTATCCCGTCTCGTATATACCTTCTCTGACCTCAGAGCCAACGGCGGAGCCATTACGTACGACTTCCTGCGACCGAGTAAGGAAGAATCGAAGATTTCTACACGGCACCTCGGGAGAGGTGTCCGCGCGCGATACGACCGGAGATACCGTCGAGCGACGAAAATTCCCAGGCTAACTTGGAGAGGATATAGCGGCCGCTTAATCCCCGGAATACGCCTGCCTTAATTGCGGAACTGTGTCGAGACGGAGCCGACATAACGGTCCGTAATAAAAATTCTACGCGAATATTTCAAACGGCGATATTTTTCAGAGGAACACGCGCTCGTGGAAAAATACGCCGCGATTTTATCCGCCGTTTTAGTATCTCGAAAATATACTTTGTTTTATTTTTGCCTCCTTTTTTTCGACGAAAAAACGTTGGTCAGAAATAGTGTCCGATGTATTTATAGTATCGGAATATTTAATCGTCTTAATTCATTAATCCACGATGATCCATTGTTTTCAACGGTGCAAATTTGCAAATGTAACTGTAAATAAGTTTCGATAAGTCACTATTGTCATTACTTGTTTAACTGAACTACAGATTTACGATCATCCAAATAGCATCAAAATAGCGTGGATAGCGCACGTGTAACTCGCACGTGTTTGAATCCGCGAATCGAAAACTGTTGTCGTTTGATGCGACGTTGTCCGAGAGGTGCACCAAACTTATTGCAGCAATATATGATGCAAATACAACTTTATTATCTCGTAAAGTGACAAATATTAAAAAAAAATTAAAAAAAAAGAAAGCAAAAACATAAAAACCAATGCTATTTTCTCATACATCTAATCCAGAATCGAAAGAAAATCTATGAATAATGAAGAATAGATCAAGGATACGTCAAGCTGATATACATATGATATACATATGATATACACAGAGAAAAATGTATTCAAGTAAATATTATTTATTTTAAATTTATCACAAGTTTGTATATCCATAATTATATCGTAAATTCATCACAAGCATTAAATTTAATTGAATATATTCCGAATTTAGTAAAGGCAGTATTTTAGTCAAGAATATTAAATCAAAATAAAAATTTGGTTTGCTTATTAGAGTTGGCGTAAAGTAAGTTTGATTTTTTCTTTGATACAATTTTACAATATTCTTGAAGAGAAAATAAATTTTTTGAGTACATAATAATGAGATTTTTTAACACTTGTGATGAGTACGTTTTAAGACTATTATCAAGAATATATTTTTGTTGAAGAGAAACTATTACTTAAAGAAAGAAAAATAAACTGAATAAAGTCCGCCTTTCTTGACAGTCGAATGATATTTTTCTCTGTGTATAGTAAACAAATCAAATTTTCGTTTTAATTTCATATTCTTGGCTAAAATATTGCACTTACTAAAATTCAAAACATATTCAATTAAATTTAATGCTTGTAGTGAATTTATGATATATTAGCGGATATATAAACTTATGATAAATTTAAAATAAATACTATTTACTTACTACATACTATTTACTATACATTTTTTTTTGTGTACAGTTGGCATAAAGTAAACTTGATTTTTCTTTGATACAATTTTATAACATTCTTGAAGAGAAAAATAACAGATAAATTTTTTTTTTTTGAAAACATGATAATGAGATTTTTTTAACACTTGTAAAGAGTAATATATTTTAAGACTATTATCAAGAATATATTTTTGTTGAAGAGAAACTATTACTTAAAAAAAAGAAAAATAAACCGAGTAATCGCTTTTCTTGGTAGAATGATATTTTCCTCTGTGTACGCACGCGACATGTCACAAAACGGTAAATATATCGAGCGCCTATATTTAATACGTCGAAATAACTATAACTGATTGTTAATCCGTAATTAATCGCCAGTCATCGCTTAATCGTCAAGTCACCAATCTGAGTCACCGCAATCGTAGAAATTACAAGGTCGTCGGTGACACGCATCCCATGCCAGGGGTCAAGCGCGACGTCATCGCTCCATAACGAGCGCTTCTTCGATTTCACATTCAATCGCGGTGGGACAAAAAGCTGAAAAATCCCGCTCCGAATCTGTCGAGCCGATCGTGTCGCGAAAAACAGTTTTCAAGACAATTTTCGAGGAGGACTATTTCCAGCCATCGACTACCGAGAAAAAGCGAGACCTGCCGGATGGTGTAGCGTGTCGTTCACGGAATTATTGACGTTTCGCCGATATAATCGATGTTTGCAAATTGAGCCTCGAGCTCCGACTCGAGCTGGCGCGACAACCGCATCGAGATATTAATTCTTATCACGCGGCAGAACAAAAGTTAAGCTCGCGCGACATAATTTGCCTTCGCGCGAAACGTCAAATTAAAATGCCGCGGCACGTAACGTAAGGATACTTGAAACAAGTGTGACTGATATTTTAAATCGACGACTAATATTGTTATCTTGGAGCGAACGAAAGGAAATCCCCACTGATGCGGTGAGAATTAAACGTTTCCGAGATATCGCCGACAGAGATGAAAATGATTAATGTCGGAGCTGATAAAAAGATTCTCGATCTCGTTCGCGCTCATATTCGATTGGAAATTTTTATTTAGCCTCGTAAACACGCGAATCGATCAACAGGCGAGTACGCATATCGGCGTTATTACACATTATTGCGAGACGAGGTGTTTAAAGTGGACTCGCGACCAAGATCTTTAAAGGATTTATATTATCGTAAAAATTCATAGACCATCCGAAAATAAAGTCATATTTAAACATTTTTTTTTCAATTAAAAATTAAGTCGAGCTTTATGCGTATTTTATAAAAATTTCAACAAGTATATAAGACGGAGTTTAAAAATAAATTATAATTAAAGTTTCAATTTTTTTGCTAAGTTTCGAATACAATTTGCCGGAATATGTCAAATATACATACGTGCGTGCGTGCATGCGTGCGTATGAAATAACATGACATGGTACGCGATCCGTGCGACGGCTGAGAGCAATAAATGGGAACCGGAATCATTTTAATGAAGCTGATTTTCGATGCCAGGAAGCATCGAAACGTCGAAAAAGTCGCATCGATATCTTCCTACGCGAAATTTTCAGCCGCGCGACATGTGTAATTAATCTCAATTAGAGAAATTTGAATTATACACAGAGAAAAATATCATTCTACTGCCAAGAAAAGCGATTACTCAGTTTATTATTTTTTTTAAGTAATAGTTTTCGACGAAGAATATATTCTTGATAATAGTCTTGAAAGATCAACTCATCACAAGTGTTAAAAGCTCTCATTATCATGTACTCAAAAGAAGAATTTATTTTCTCTTCAAGAATATTGTAAAGTTTTGTATCAAAGAAAAATCAAACTTACTTTACGCTAATTTTTTGTAGTAACCAAACCAAATTTTTGTTTTGATTTAATATTCTTGACTAAAATATTGCACTTACTAAAATTCAGAATATATTTAATTAAATTTAATGTTTGTGGTAAATTTATGATATATTTGCGGTTTTGAATTGGAATTTATGATATATTTTTATACAAACTTATGATATACTTAAAATAAATAATATTTACTTGAATACAGTACACATGTTTCTCTGTATATAAAATTTAAAATTTTTTTCAATCGAATGAACCCTACTATCTAGAAAGGCAACAAACGCTCTTTCCTCAGTGGCATTTTTTACGTCCTTTGCGAATCAAATCTCGATAGTTTGTTAAATTAAGCGTACACAGAAAAAAAGGACATTCATGTTTCGAAAACATATTTAATTTTAACGTGGAAATCTTGAAATAAGATTATATTGCGTTAATTAAAGAAAAATATAATTGCTTGAATAATTGCTTACTTGAACGAAGACATTTTATACAGTTGAATCGAGAAAAATATGTTCTTATGATTTAAGATTTAATTTTCTCGAATGCAAAAGAAATAATGTTGGATAGAAAATAACATTTTTAAATCAAAGATTATAATTTTCTTAAAGTAGAATTAAATAATTATATATTCTTGGGGTGACAATATTAAAATTACAATATTCAAATAAGACTATAATATTGTTGAAATTTAAAATTATTAAATTCCCCCCTCTAAGAAGATTATAAGCTGTCGCGTATATACGAAACAATGAACGCGTTAGTTTAAGTATAAAGTTCTGATTTGACACTTATTTTTTTTCTGTGTAAAGAAGCGGTGAATGTTAAACGTGAAATTCTTGCAAATACGTAAGAAGACGAGCAAATAAGACTGCGGGCAAACGAGATAAGAAATAGCTGAAATTATACGATACGGTAGAAACGCATGCCGGCAGTGCGCATGCTATTTTCTCAACCTCCTCCTTAGCAGTCCCAAAGGGCCTGAAAGAGGGAGAGAAAGAAAAAGAGATAGATAGGTAGAGAGAGAGAGAGAGAGAGAGAGAGAGAGAGAGAGAGAGAGAGAGAGAGAGAGAGAGAGAGAGAGAGAGAGAGAGAGAGAGAGAGAGAGAAAGAGAGAAGGAAAGAAAGCCACTTTTATCCTCTTTGCCTTCGTACGACATAATGATAGTGAAACATTGAATCTCGAGCGTAAACTGCAATTTAATGAATTTTCAACACACCAACATCCCGAGGACGCGGGTGGAGGAGAGGGGGAGGGGGCAAGAAGTAAGAAGTAAGAAAATTTAAAAAGGAGGGAAACGAGACGCGAGAGAGAGACCGAGGGGGGTTGAGAGAAACGCCGTCCATCGTCCCGCGTGTGTGTATGCACGTGTATCGTCTCGAGAAACTCTCGCGCGGATATCGGCGATAGCGCGATTGGCGATTATGTTAACCAAACACGCGCGGTATACGCCCCTGCAATTTGCCCGGGGATCATCTTCCCCTAATCGCCGCGCTAATAACAGGATTACCGGGGGCCTGACCGCGCGGTCGTATACTTATCCCTAATTCGCCGTATCGTTATTAATATATACGCGATACGATTGAGAGAACGGGGCCCCGGACGAGCCCGCGATAAGCCACGCGCGCCGAAATGAATCGCGGCAAATCCCCGCGTCTTCCTTTAAAGAGATCCCCCGGCCCTCTCCTCCCCATTTGCGACGAAACCCGCTAGAGTCGCGTTGCACCGACGCTCATGAAATAAATATGAGATTAAGAGAAAAGGACGTGGCATTTTTTTTTTTTACTTACGTGTAGTGAGAGTAAGACGGGCTGGCTTGATCGATGTGCGCGGCGGTTGACAAGCCTTGCGCGATGGCGGCCGAGGGGTCCCTAGCTGGCGAGGAATTCTGCGCCGCCGCTGCCGGAATAGCGTGATGGTAACGCTGGCACATTTCGGCCAAGTTCCACCCATGGGCATCCATATATTAGCACTGCTTCGCTTTTCTTTGGCGTACCATCCATTTCACACGCATTTGATGCACTCTCTGTCTCCCTCTCCTGGTCCTTCCGCCTCTTCTGCTCTCTCTCTCTCTCTCTCTTTGTCTTTGTAATTCACTCGCACTCTCGTATCTACGTATAAGGAAACGACACTCACAACAATGACATTGTCCTGTCGGCGATGTACGTCCGAGCTCGGCGCGAAATCGTCCGTTTAACTCGCAGCGCGATCCTCCGCTCGCACGCGCGTCGCCTGTTAATCATGGAAAATGGATTCATTTAGTTGAGTATTAATGACGGGTACGTATTTAGACGGATGATCGATAAGCGGTTATTAAAAAGAGAGACGAGTCGTCGCGACTCGCATGTCGATGACCGCGTTTGAAATTTAAATTCGACTTCATTTCGGCCGCCCCATCGGGCGAAGCGAAACGAGACGACGCAACAATTTTCCCTCGATGAAGGAACGAGGAAAATAAATCATTTTTACGACTATTATACACGAAGCAAGGATTTATTTTTAACGTCGCGCGATATGCAAACATATGATTCAAGATACATTTACTTGCGTCGGTGAATTTTAATTCCCCATTTCCGCTCGTTTGATCGCATATCGAGGTTTAGATTCGTGTCGTGATAAAATTATGGAGTGTTTTTTAGATGTAGTTTCTTGAATGGTGTTCAGTCGGATATCCTGTAAATCCCCTACACAACTCGTCCTTTGTTCTCGATTTAAATGTAATTTAGAGTCGCGATTTTAATGAAAGTGTCCATTTAATTTCTAATCGCGAACGGGTTAAAGAGGAGGGCCTTACATAATCGAAGGGCTCGAAAAGTCGCGTCGGATAACGATCGGCATCTGGATATCGCGATCGACTTCCATTCGTGCCCGGGCAATTCAACGTTAATGGCCGTCGTGTAAAGATATCTACGAAAATGACTATAATCACTCGCGCACGCGAGTTTTCATCGCGCAAAAATAATATCGTTGAATAGCACACTTTTTTCTCGCCCGTGATTGAGATAATTGTGACGGCAAGAATTTAAACGCGGGTCGAAAGATTGAGGAAACGTCTGTGTCGTGTGTATTAAGGATTATCCGAGATATTTAATCGTTAAAAAATATCGCACGATTAAGATACAAAGATTAAACAATTTTAATCAGATATGATATTGCTTCAATAATTATATTAATTTTTTTCGTTTGAAAATGTTTTATTACGTCGCCTGGCAATATTTATAGCGCTTACAAAAATTTTCATCCTTATTAAAATTAAGAAACAAGATTAACACACAGAAAAAATAAGTGTCAAATCAAAACTTGTATACTTAATTAACGCGTTCATTGTTTTGTATATAGGCGACAATTTATAATCTTTTTAGAGGAATTTAATAATTTTAACAATATTAATAATTTTAATAATTTAACAATATTAGTCTTATTTTAATATTGTACTTGTCGCCTCAAGAATATAATTATTTAATTCTACTTTAAGAAAATTATAATTTTTGATTTAAAAATGTTATTTTCTATCCGACATTGTTTCTTTTTATTCGAAAAAATTAAATCTTAAATCATAAGAATATATTTTTCTCGATTGAACTATATAAAATGGCTTCATTCAAGCAAGCAATTATTCAAGTAATTATTCAAGCAATATTTTTCTCTAATTAACGCAATATAATCTCATTTCAAGATTTCCATGTTAAAATTAAATATATTTTTAAAACAAGAATGTCCTTTTTTGTGCACAAAAAAAAGAAGTGTCAAATCAAAACTTGCATATTTAAACTAACGCGTTCATTGTTTTGTATACGCGACAATTTATAATCTTCTTAGAGGAATTTAATAATTTTAAATTTCAACAATATTATAGTCTTATTTTAATATTGTAATTGTCACCTCAAGAATATATAATTATTTAATTCTACTTTAAGAAAGTTATAATCTTTGATTTAAAAATGTTACTTTCTATCTAAAATTAAATCTTAAATCATAAGAATATATTTTTCTCGATTTAACTGTATAAAATGGCTTCATTCAAGTAAGCAATTATTCTAGCAATTATATTTTTCTTCAATTAACGCAATATAATCTTATTTCCATGTTAAAACTCAATATATTTTCAAAACAAGAACGTTCTTTTTTTCTGTGCATGTTATTTTTTTATGTCTACATATCGTGACGAGAAAAGTTTTTTAAACAACACGAGCAAGTATACGCATATATATATTCTCGGAAAAATTTATGACGAATCTTGTAAACACCGAATAATCGATCCTTCTAATTAAATTTATGACGCAAAAGTCTATCGTCTAATTTAAATAAAAAAGCTATAAATTCGATTCGATTCGCGACGTAAACAAAAATACAACAACGTGCAAACAATTTCGTTGTTTAAATTTTCCCGAATCTAATCGCCGATTACCGATTCCGGAGCATGTCCCAGGGAGTTGTTTTAATCACGGCCACGCGATATCGTATATATAAATACATGTAGATTGGATTAATCGCCGGTAAATATCCGGCCGCGACGCGAGGCAAATGGCAATTAAACGCGGAATGTTACGAATGTAACGAAACGTCTCGAACGCCCAAACCTATGAAACCCGATGCTCGCGCGATCTTTACGTTCGCGCGCGATTATCCGGATGGTTACGTGGACGCTAGATGCACGGCACGATTACCGGCCATCTCTCCCGCGACGCAAATCGTAATCGGAGACTCCGGAATATCTCCCGAGGAGATTCGGAGCGTATTTCTTCCGATATATACGCAGTCATTTAATTAGAAACAAGAGAGAGAGAGCGAGAGAGAGAAAAGAGTCGTACAACAAAAGGAGAGAGAGACAGAGAGAGAAACAATTCTCGCGATGATGCATCGCGAGTTGAACGACACAATGCGTTCGCCGCCGGAGACGCAAGTGCGTGAATATGCGTGTGCGTACGCGGTGAAAATCATAAAGTCGCGAGGACGCACAACGCAAGGTGTAACGTCTTTGGTCGCTAACGGAGGTCTCAATCCGCGTCGTGCACACGCACAAACGCAGACACGACGATGACACGTTATATGCACAACGCGATAATAATCACAATGGCAGATCGATACGTCGCGCGAGGATTCCGTGTCGTGAAAGTCAAGGAAGGAATGCGCGCGACAACGAGAGGACGTCGCGTTCCAGTCAAACTTTATTACTGCACGATTGTGTCCTCCCCCCTCCCCCCTCCCCCTCCCACCACTTCGGGTTTGTTTTCGTTCGCGCGCGCGCGCGGGACGTGTTTGTTACGTCGCCCCCACCCGCGCTCCCTCTCCCTCGCTCTATCTGTCTCTCTCTCTCTCTCTCTTTCTCTTTTTCTTTCTACGATTCTACGATACACGGCGTATTGCGTAGAGTCGCGCGTATGTAACATGCGTAATCGTGACGGACGTGGCGGTCCGTTAATGAGCACGCGCCATCGCCGCTCCGAGGGATTGTCCGAGGGACGGATATCTCTTGATAAATCGACGAGGTATAAATCAATATTACGGCATTACTTTCTAATGTCCCGATCTCGGCGTTTTGCGCGATTCGGAGAAAAAGACTCGTTCGAGACGAAACGCTGTTGTTTGTTGTTAACATTGTAAACAGTCTCCCGATATTCGACTTGTTGATTCTAATTTATATATTCTGCACGAGCAAAAAGTACGAGAGCCGAAGAAATTTTGAAGCATCAATATCGCGAATTGCGTCGCGAATTAATTCGCGCGATGCGTCTGAGAAATTGAATCCGAAGCTTGTCGAATATAATGCGCAGAATGCACGCAGAAAAAAAGGACATTCTTGTTTGGAAAATATATGTATTTAGTTTTAATATGAAATCTTGAAATGAGATTATATTATTATTATTATCGTTAATTAAAGAAAAATATAATTGCTTGAATAATTGCTTGCTTGAATGAAGCCATTTTATATAACTCAATCGAGAAAGATAAATTCTTATGATTTAAGATTTAATTTTCTCGAATGCAAAAGAAACATGTTGGATAGAAAATAACATTTTTAAATCAAAGATTATAATTTTCTTAGACTAGAATTAAATAATTATATATTCTTGAGATAACAATTACAATATTAAAATAAGATTATAATATTGTGGAAATATAAAATGATTAAATTCTTCAAAGAAGATTATAAATTGTTGCGTATATACGAAACAATGAACGCGTGAGTTCAAGTAAACAAGTTTTGATTTGCCACTTCTCTTTTTTCTGTGCACAAAAAAAGGACATTCTTGTTTTGAAAATATGTTTTATTTTAACATGGAAATTTTGAAATGAGATTATATTGTGTTAATTAAAGAAAAATATAATTGCTTGAATAATTGCTTGCTTGAATGAAGCCATTTTATATAGTTGAATCGAGAAAAATATATTCTTATGATTTAATTTTCTTGAATGGAAAAGAAACAATGTTGGATAGAAAATAACATTTATTGTTAAATTTAAAACTATTAAATTCCTCTAAAAATATCATAAATTGTTGCGTATATACGAAACGCGTTAATTGAAGTACAAGTTTTGATTCGACACTTATTTTTCTTCTGTGCAACGAAAATTTGTCAAATCTCTAGCGTTCATCGTCAAAGAGAAAAATATAAAAAATTACATTTGGACAAAGAAGGTCGAAAATATGAATATTAAAATTTTTTTCAATCGGAGTAAATTTTCAAGAGAAAAAGAATATTCTTCTTTCGTCTTTAATCTTCTTCCTTTGAAAACCAGTTTGCGGACGCTAATTTAGTCTAATAATTGCTAAATTCCTGCATGCATTAGACGAGACGAAACGATGATTATTAGCATAATCGAGAATAGCGTGATGTCTCGATCTCGAGTCGCTGGTAAGACGATACCGCGCATCGATCGCGTGCACGATTCCATCGCGAAATTTTCAGAAGTCATTCGCGTAATCGTGACAAGGACGAATCCCGCCTTCGTCAGCGATTCGAGCGTCGATATTTTGGAGGGAGCGATCGCGATCATTTCTGCAATCGTGCGCAAAACGGATCGGAAATGTCGAAACGGCCCTTTTTTTTTCCTCTCGACGCGAATAACCGCGTTGTTGACGGAAACCGACGCTTCTCTCGTCTCTCGGCCGCTTTCGCCTCTCGATCTCGCATTGACGATTTTCGAGTCGAATCGATTCGATCGAAACAGGATTACCCGCCGCGGGCGATGGACGGCAACGCGGATAGTTATGCGCCGTCTAAGCCGAACGTTAACGAAGGTTTCACCGTGGATTTTTCAGAAAATCGCCTCTACACGCTCCGTGCCTCTTTCTCTCTCGTTTACGCCCACGCGCGCGCGGCCAACCACGGAACCGGCCGGCGGGTAAGAGAGAGTGTATTTCTCGCTTATTATCCTTTCCTTCGATTTTCTCTAGCGAAGGGAAAAGAATACCGAGCCGAGGAGAAGGTGCCGTCTACGTATATTATATCCGCGGGTGTACACGTATCCCGTGCGCGCGAGCGCGCGCACGTGTGTCGGCGAGTATCGTCGGTATCTGTGACGTGTGACTCACCCGCATACGCGGTTCGATGTACACGCCGGAGATTTACAGCTCATTACCGATTTCATACTCGGCGTCACGATCGATCCGCCGCGTCGAACCGAGACGAGACGAGACGAGACGAGAGGAGTCGATATACGTAGCGGAATCGTCGGTATCGCGTGCCATATCGATACGTGACACCGCTTGACGTTTACGCGCGCGCGCGCGCGAGACGGTCGGGTTTCGATCGCGGAAAACGCGCGCGCTCTCGAATCATGGTTTTCTCTCTCTTTCGTTACCTTTTTCGTCCTCTTCTCGTCACGGGTTGCCGGATGATCCGCGCGATTCGGGAACAATCTTAGCGATGACAAGTCACTCAAGCGAAGAAAAACACTCGACGAGATCTCGCGACGATCGAGAGATTCCGTCAACCAGGACGGAACGTAAGATCCACAGCGATACGTCAAGCGCTGCGCGGCCGCGGAAATGTCAAACGACGAGTCTCGCAACAGTAGCGGCAACGGCAACGGGAGCAGCGACGGCCGTCGCTCGCGTGGGAGTGTGACATAATAGCGCGTTCCGTCTCTGCCCCGCGGAATCTCCGCGAGACGCCCACCGCTTCTCGATCTCGCGATCGGAAGCTCCGATCCTCGGAGGTCCCGCCTCGATTCCTCCCCCGGGGGTACCCCACGACGAGTGTGATCTCGATGTATCGGCGCGCGACGATTCCGCGTCACGTGACGCGGTCCGAGTCGATTTTCGTCTCACTCGCGCGATTTCAAAAGCGGAGCAACGCGCGCGACAGCGAGCCGGCTGCGCCTGCCTGGGCTCTGCCTGCGCGTTCCGTGGTGCACGACGACTCGAGAGCCGAGCGGCGGACTGAAGTCGGGCCGAGGTGAGCGGAGGTGACTTGCTACTCGGGCCGGGCCGGGGCCCGCAAACGCGGCGAACCACCACGAGCACCGCGGCGGCGGCGGTGTTGCGACCGGTCGAGCGTACAAGGAGGAAACAGATCTCCGTGTGTGTCTGCGCGCGCGCGCGTCGCACGTACGTACGTACGAGTGCGCGCGTGTTGGCGGAGACACGGGTGTACCTGGCGGGAGAAGGTGCCCCTCGCTCGCGCGGGGCACCTTCTCCCCCCCCCCCTCCCTCGAGGCACCTCGCAGCCTCGCGGATCCGCCCGTGCATCTTCTCCGTCGCCATCGCCGCGAAAGTTTCCGCGTTCGCGACGAAAAATGGATACGCAAGGAACGTGGGTTTCGACGGCGGAGGAGAAAGAGGGAGGAAATTGCGCGAAGGCGGATATTCCGAAGGAGCGGAGGGCGAGTTTTTCGGTACGGAAGGAAAGCGCGCGCTCGAGTGGATTTGACGATAATTGACGGCGATGTGTACCAGGCGAGGATATCGGGTCGTAAAACAATGGCTCATGGAAATATTTAACGATCGCTTTTTATACGCACGTCGAATATACGCTAATTATATGTTGTGGAAATTTGATTGGAGCGAATTTTAATCGCTCTGCCCGACGCGGCCGATTCGAATCGCCCCCCCGGGGGCAGAAACGCGCCGATAATTTCGCGCGCGTAACGCAAAAGTGCGCAGCGTTAAGCTCGACGGTCGATCCTCCGATACCTTTCAAAGTACCCGCAAATGTCATTGGGATATGAGACGCGAGGTATATCGTAAAGACAGCCGCGTTTCGCGGAATGCGAGGCACGGGATTCTTGATTTCGCCGTTTTTTTCTTTCGATTTTCACGCGAGCCTCGCACAATGCCGCGGTTACGTAATCGTAAAAGCGTAGGAAGCACATGGATTGATTAGCACACGAGAAGGAGAAAGGTTGCGGCCATATGGAATATCGGCTGGTGGCTCTATGCGAATCACGCGCGCGCGCGCGCGCGCGCTCGCGAAGTGAGTCGCGGCCAGACCACGTGGGTGTCATCACACGCGCGTCAAAAAAAACCCCGAAGAGATTATATAGACGCACACTATCCCCTCTCTCTCTCTCTCTCTCTCTCTCTCTTGATGTTTAGAGCAGTGATTCTCAAAGATTTAAACGTTAGAGACGTTTTAAAGAAAAAAGCCAGGTACATAAATGCTTGCTGCAAATTTTGTCTCGTGCTTAGAAATGTCCGCGATAAAAAATGAGCGCGATAAATAATTCGCGATTCGAGTTTGCGGTGGAATAATAGGGCGCCGCGGGCGAAAAAAAGTTTGAGAACCATCGACCTAGAGGAGAAGTGCGTAGAGGAGTGTAGGCACAACCGCAATATCGCCAAGGGACGGTGCATAAAGGATCCCGATAGCAATGACTATAAATTCACTCTAAGCGCGAGTCTAAATATAAACTACGCGCGAGAGTGGTTATCTCCCGGTGTAAAAATCGCATCTTTATCCCATTATTATTACTAATGCGACCTCTCCCGTGCGATTATGCGATTTTATATTCCTCCCGGTCTTACTACATTAATGCAACACACCTGCCTCGCTTTAACGCTTCGTTAATGTCGGACGCTTCGTTACGTCGAACTTTATCGTGTAAAGTAAGTGTGCAAGAGGGGATGTGTTAATTATTCCGCGCGCGCAAAATCATGCATCGCAAATTAACACACGAGTCTTGGAGCGCATTTCCTTTTATACGCCCGGAAGATTTTTTCTCGGCGACGAGAATTTTATCGAAAATATACTATCGTCGTCGAGAAAAGTATAATTTAAAATTATTTAAATTAAGCTTTGTAGTATTTATTTGAAAGAAATATTGTTCAGAATTCCTCGGGAAAGATGTTTCGTTGGTAGTTTAATTAATAACAAATCGCAAGTAAAAACATAAATCCTGCAGCGGATTTTTCTTTATACATCCAAAAGATTATTTCTCGGCGACGAGAATTTTATCGAAAATATACTATCGTCGTCGAGAAAAGTATAATTTAAAATTATTTAAATTAAGCTTTGTAGTATCTATTTGAAAGAAATATTGTCCAAAATTCCTCGGGAAAGATGTTTCGTTGGTAGTTTAATTAATAACGAATCGCAAGTAAAAACATAAATCCTGCAGCGGATTTTTCTTTATACATTCAAAAGATTATTTCTCGGCGACGAGAATTTTATCGAAAATATACTATCGTCGTTGAGAAAAGTATAATTTAAAATTATTTAAATTAAGCTTTGTAGTATCTATGTGAAAGAAATATTGTTCAGAATTCCTCGGGAAAGATGTTTCGTTGGTAGTTTAATTAATAACGAATCGCAAGTAAAAACATAAATCCTGCAACGGATTTTTCTTTATACATTCAAAAGATTATTTCTCGGCGACGAGAATTTTATCGAAAATATACTATCATCGTCGAGAGAAATATAATTTAAAATTATTTAAATTAAGCTTTGTAGTATCTATCTGAAAGAAGTATTGTCAAGAATTCCTCGAGAGAGATGTTTAGTTGATGGTTTAACTAATAACAAATTACAAATAAAAACATAAATCCTGCAGCGCATTTTTCTTTATACATCCAAAAAATTATTTCTTGTACTGAGAAAAAAATGTTGTTAACTTGAAAAAAAAATCGTTCAACTAAATTAATATTTGAAATATAAATTATTATTTAAATATTATATATTTAAGTTAAATAGGTGTCATGTTAGATTTAATATGTATTATTTAATTTAAATAGCTAAATATTTTAATTAAAAAAATAATAATTTAGTTAATAGTAAATTTAGTAAAGTTAACAACTTTCTTTCTCAGTGTGGCGATGAGAATTTTATATATTATCATCGTCAAGGGTAATGTTTAAACTAGGCTCTATTTGAACTAGTATCTATTTGAACTAGTATCTATTTGAAAGAAACATTATCAAGAATTCTTTAAAAGGAATGTTTAGTTAATGACAAATCACAAATAAAAATATTCCTTTATATACTCGAAAGATTATTCCTCGCGACGAGAGTTTTATCAAAAGTATGACATCATCCAAAGCAATATCTAAATTAATATAGTTCTCTTCCTGTTTGGAAGAGAACCCTTCTCGAAACATGTCCAATTGATAGTTTAATTAGTGACGAATCGAAAATGTTTACATGGAAATTCTCAAGAGAGAAGGATCGATTGTGGACCGATTCACGATCCGAAAAGGTATAATAATTTTTAATAAATTATTATAAATGCATAAATTGCAACATGTGTTCACGTGCGAGTTTGTCTAGCGTAGCGGCCGATACGCTATAGTGAATGTAAAACCGAGCGTACAAAATTGAATATTTAAAAGATTACGAGCCAAGTCGCGCGCGAGAGAGGATACGGGGCAGTTACTCGCCCGACTCGCATACCGGCTGCCCTTTCGATAATACGATCGATACCGATCTCGATGACGTAGCCGTCTCGCGCTCGCCGCGCGAGCGGAGACGAAAAGCATTCGAAAAAAAAGAAAAAAACATATTCCTCGCTTTAATCCCTTCATGCGTATAATTCAGGCTATTATCGGTCTATTTCGATTTCTATTGAGAATACGAAATACATTGTATCCTACAAAAGCGGAGAGAGATTTTCCCGAATAAATACAAAATTAATTATAATTAATTTAAAAAGTTATTTTATATTTTTCAGAAGGAGAGTCGTATTAAGATTTACCGGAGACACTGGATACAGGTGCTTCTTAATAAGTGCGAAAAATTTTAGGAGCTGATTCTTTGTCGAAAATTAATTTCTCATATAAATATTAAAAAGTTTCATCCCCTTGTAACAATACGAGAGACGGAAAAAAATATTAATAAATAACTCTTCAGGGGAGTAAAAAGGGGTTTATAGAATTCTAAAAAATGAGAATCTATATCTTGATAAATGCACCGAGTAAAATATATGTATATGCTTTGTGCACGTTTAAATTTTCGCGAATAATTGAAGAAAACTTTTATGCACTATCATCCGCGGTGACTCTTATTTGCTAGTTTCTTATCGTGTTGTTTAATACATGTAGAGCCTAATTCTTTGATTTATTAATAAATAACCTTTTTACTAGTAGACAGCATCTAACTAATTTCATTTCTCTACTTGTTCCAAATTTGAGAAAAAACTAAAAAGCCCCCTTAATTTAACAAAGACTCATCTCCTAAAATCTTTCGCTTATTAAGAAACACCCTGTATATTATTACCCTTCAAGATGATGTATAAAAGTAGAGATGCGGAACGCGAGAGAAGCGATGATATACGGAAGAAAGCGACATCCCCGGAGAACCGTAAAGTAAACTGAGAAAAACATCACACGCTCGGGCGGCCGTCACTCACCTGAGCAGTTGGTATGTATATGAAACGATATAAGTGCATTGTGCTCGTTAATGCGCTGGCAAGCGCGTAATGCTTGCGTACGCGCATAAATATTTATGCTATTCGAACAATCCCTAAAACGAAATGAAGTCTCTACAGCCATGACGGGAACGCGCTCGCGTATTATCATTGATATTCCGCGTGTTGCTTCTTATTATCAATCCCTTCAGCGATATTACCTTTTCAATGCCGAGTATTTTCCTTCGCTCGTGCGCACGTCGATAAAAAAATTATTAAATATTTATTTTTCGCTAATCGAATTTATATCTCTTAAATCTGATGTCTTTGCAATTAATCTCCTTCTCTCTGGCATTTCAAGTTATTATTATTACAATTTCGAATTTGGAAAATTCTAACAAAGATCGGATGTTTGTAACCAGATGCCAGTCTGTTTTCAGGCGTATTATTATCATTAATAATATTAATTTCCTTGATATTTCTAAATTCCTGCAAAGCATTTCTCGCTGACATTTCTTTTTTTTGCTCGTTAAGTGACAGGTTTAGATTTAGGGATGCAACGAGAACAGAACCCATTGAACAAAGCATTTGTCGGAGAATAAATGTGTAT